ACTGCTACAGTGCGCTGCTTGGGAGCGCAGCAGCGCTCCCGCCGAGGGTTCGGATCCCACATACAGACTGGCCGCTCACTGGCTGAGCGAGGTGTGGGCACAACACTGAGGGTTGCGATCGCGTTGCTGGTCCCAGTCCGGTAGGGGCGCGACACTGAGGGTTGCGATCCGTTGCCGGTCACGAAAAAAGACAAAAAAAGGAAAAAAAATAAAAATAAAAATAAAAAAAATAAAAAGATGACCGGTAAGGGGATCTTAACCACTGACTTGGTGTTGTCAGCACCATGCTCTCCCAAGTGAGCAACCGGCCATCCCTATATAGGGATCCAAACCCCTGGCCTTGGTGTTATCAGCACCACACTCTCCCAAGCGAGCCACGGGCCGGCCCTAGAGATTCAACTTTCTAGCTCACCAGACTTCTCAAGTTTCATCACCTTTTGTCTGTTTGTTGTTATGTATTTTATTTCTATATGCATTTGAAACTCCACAAGACATTATTGAACAACGATCAGTTAAATTTACCTACACATCTACCACTTTCTTTTTCATTCTTTTCTACATCTCTGACTCTCATCTGGAATTATTTTTCTTTACAATTTCACCTGGGATTAACACCCTTTAGAGTTTCCTTTTACACAGGACTTGCGGTGGGAAATTCTCTCCATTTCTGTTGTGAAAAGGCCTGTTTTAGCTTCATGCTAAGGGATGTTTTGCTGGGTGTGGACTCCTCGGCAGGCTGTTGGTTCCTCAGCACTGGGGAGAGCATTCTGCTGCTCCTGCTTTCCATTGTCACCGCTGCTCCTTGCAGATGTCCATCCTTCCCCTCTGGCTACTTTTAAACTTTCTGTCTTCAGATTTCTGCATTTCGCAATAACATATCTAAGAGTAGGTCTCTTTTTATTTATTCTGTGTTTGTTTTGTGAATTCTTAAAGGTTCTCTTTAATTAAACACTGCCTGTCACATCATCGCCCCTTTCCCACCTCCTCACTCTACCCCGATGTCTCCCACCCACTCTTCTGCTTTTCTACTTGCTCTGGCTATTCTCAAGAGAGCTTTTTTCTGACCTATCTTTCAGAACACTAAATCTCTCTAAACTGGCATTATATCCATCCATTGAGTTCATTTCGGTTACTGCACATTTCAGTTCTAGAATCTGCTATGTAACTTTTTATACTTTCCAAGGATCCTGCTCAGATTTTCAAGTTTGTCTTTTATTTATTTAAACCCTGGTAAACCTGTTATTTGTCCTGATCTGAATCTGGTATCACAGGTCTCTGTGATTCCGTGTCAGTGGCCTCTGCTGGAGATTCCTCATAATGTCCTGTTTCTCTGTGTGCCTGGTTATTGCTGACCATATGCTGGACGTTATATTTGAAGAATCAGCTGGAGGAATCATCTGACACCTATGATTACAGCATCCCCCTCCAGGGAGGTTTGTTTCTCCTCACCACAACCAAGTAGGGAGTTTGAGGTTGCTTGGAGCAGCAGATGTCCAGAAGCCCAGCTGCAGGCCTGGGGAGGACTTGGTTACTGCCAGTCCACTCTTGCCCTGGGGGTACTGCCTTTTGTGAGGGGTGGGTCTCAGTTTAAAGTGGAAGGCGGTCTCCAGTTCTGGACAGCTTTGACTTTTTTCCCTGTAGACCAGAGCTCCTCAACCTCATAACTACTGACATCTTCGGCCAGATAATTCTTTGGTGTGGGGACTGTTCTATGTTGGGTGTTCAGCAGCCTCCCGGCCTCTACCTGCTAGATATCAGTAGATCCCCCCCCTTCCCCAGTTGTGACAACCAGTAATGTCTCCTGGTATTGCTAAATATCTTGGGGGCAGGAGGGAGTCAGGGGTGGGGCAAAATCGCCCTGATTGATAACTACTGCTCTAGACCTTCAAAGGTCACCAAAAACATAGCTCAGTTTTGTGTGTTTCTTTGGGATTAGCAAATGCTCTCAAGTTACCATAGTTGCTTAAGTGGGTTCTTGCCTTCTCCAAGGTATGGCTTAGTAATTATACTTTTTCCCTGTTACTCTTTAATGCTTTGAAGATTTTTTTTAATGCTATGTTTTTTTGTTTTTTTTGGTTTTTTTGCACAGCTGGCTGGTACAGGGATCTGAATCCTTAACCCTGATGTCTTATCTTTTTAAATTGTTTTCAGTGGAAGTGCTATGGGTTAAACATGTCCCCAAGAAGTTCATGTACTGGAAATAATCCCCACAGTAACAGTGTTAAGAGGACAGGAAATCCAATTACGGTGTTTCAAAGGTGAAGGATGGTGCCCTGTGAATGGACTGATCCACTCATGGAGTCATGGGTGTGCTTCCAGTGGCTTCAAAAGGAGAGCAAGTGAGGTCAGCTTTCTTGCTCAGCCTGTTCTAGCCATGTGACACCTGGTCAACCTGGGACCCTGTAGAGAGTCCCACTAAGAAGAAGGCCCTCACCAGATGTGCTCCCTGGACTTTGGGTTTCCCAGCCTCTGAAACTATAAGAAATAAATTTCATTCCTTTATAAACTACCTAGTATCTGTTATAAGCAACAGAAAATGGACTAATACAGGAAGGGTTGGTCTAAATCTGCAGTGTCCAACATGGAGGCCTCTGGCCACACATGGTTACTGACCACTTGAAATGTGGTGGTCCAAACTGAGATGTGCTCTAAGTATAAAATACATGCCAGATTTTGAAAACTTGGTATGATAAAACATGTAAAATATTTCAGTAATTTTTTCACTGACTCCATATCGCAATGATATTTTAGGTACATTGGGCTAAATAAAATATATCATTAAAGTTCCTTTCATCTGCTTCGTTTCACTTTTTTCAATAAGAATACTAGAAAATCTAGACTCAGGAATGTGGCCTATACTATATTTCTCCTGGATGGCACAGACAGAAGTCACCTAATTCACATAACTGGAAGGAGAGCCCCAGACTGACATTTCTTGAGGATAAGGGCTAGATTTTCTTTTGCATCTTTTGGTACTACTGAAAGTATATATGGGCCGGCCCAGTGGCGCACTGCTACAGTGCGTATATACATACTCAATAAATGCCAAATGGTTAATAAATAAAAGGAAACCTCCTTCCCTATATAGGATGGCTCAGCTTTAGGGAGGCATGAAGGCAGAAGTAACAAAGGCTTTAGTCCCACAACATTTATACAGACAGTTTGTGAATTTAATAGCTTAACAAAGTCTTTAATCTTAAAGTTACAGGTCGACAAATTAGATTATTATTCTATAAAATCTCACATTCAAATGTAATCTTTACCACTTTGTGAGGGCCTGAGCTCTTTTCATAACAAAACACGGATGGACATTCATAAAGTGCTCACTTTCTATCAGGCAAGTTGTGTATTTTCTCATACAGACACATTAGAACAGCACACACAGCCTGGAGCCTCTACGAGTGTGTGGCTGGCTGACGGGGTTAATTTCATCAGGGTCTGCCTCCCTCAGCTTTGGAGCCCAGGCTGAGCAAGGGGTGAGACGAAGGCCCACCCACCTCAACCCAAAGCCAGACTCCTCCAACAGGCAATCCGTGCCCCAAAGCTCCTGCATGGGCGAGGGTGACAGTCTGAGATCAATATTGCTGTCTGGTGCCTCCCCACCTCCATCCAACTCTGAGTCCTCCCTCTACTTTCCACTGGTGTTACTTCTAATAAAGCTTTTGTATGCAACACCATCTCACGGTCTGCATCCTACAGAATCCAGCTTGAGATAATTAGTATCCCCACTTTCCAGCTGAGAAAAGAGACTCAGAGGTAACACGCCCAAGGTAACACAGCTAACAAGAGCAGGGACGTAACCTGGAGACAGTCAGAAGACCCTGCTCGGAACTACCCCGTGATATTCCCTCTCTTTACAAAGCAATTAGACGTGCCCCCTGCCCCCCCCCACACACACACACAAATATATATATATAAGCAAACTCTTTCACATACAATTTCAGGAGTTTCATATACCTGGAGGATCCTTGGGCCTTGTTTTAAAATATTAAAACTTAACACTTTTCTTAGAGCTCAATAGAGCATGTACCCATTAGTAACAACTTAAATCCCACTAGTTTTTGCATCACCTGAAAATACAAGATATCCATCCTCAAGCCACCAAAAAGCACCAATGCCAAGAAACTCTAGAAGTCCCCAGGGCTGTCCCTCCAGTACCTCAGGGTTCAGTCCTAGCCCTCTCCTCTCCTCACTGTTTTTGGTCAATTTCAGCTACTCTCCGTTGTGGCCAAAGTATGCTCAGAGACTTGAGCCAGGTCTCAAACCTGTAAAAATTAACTGAAAAAGTAAGGATTAACTAGGCTTTCACAAATGTCCTATAACTGATCTTTTTTTTTTTTCCTTTTTTGGTGGCTGGCCAGTACAAGGATCCAAACCTGTGACCTTGGTGTTATAAGGCTGCGCTCTAACCAACTGAGCTAACCAGCCAGCCCCAGTGTCCTAAAACTGAGAGTTAGGACGTTCAGGAAAGGCACCCATTCTACAAACTGGCTTACAGAGGCGTCTGCCTCCAGTGGGTCAGGTCCCTGCTTATTGTCACATGGAAAGTTACTCATTAACACTCCAACACAGGAAGTGCTTAGATTACCTTAGATTACTTGACAATACTTCAAACAAATAACTAGAGGCCTTAAGAAGAGCATTTCCTGTTATTTAATGTTCATCCTTTGAGTCCCCAAAGCCTCGGGCCCTCTGGCTAACACCCCCAGTCCATGGCTGAGCAGCACCACCAGACACTAGACTGTGCTGTCCCAACCCCAAGAAAAGGCCCAATGACCAGGAGGGGCCTCACTAATTCAACACACACCCTTCAAACAACTCCAGAGTAACCAATGGCTTGATTTTAAACATTTTTTAATTCCGACAGAGCCATGACAGTAACTGTACTAACTGAGAACTTAACTTCGGTTTGGGGTGAAAAAAATGGTATTAAAAGATTAGATCCTTACTATATAAAATTTACAACAGAACATTTCATGGACAAGGTTAAGCACACTTACCTTTAAATTTTGATCTAATATTTGCCAGTTCCTTGTTTATCCTCTTTATTTCTGCTTCTTTACTTTTGCCTAAAAAAAGGAAAACACAAAGGCATTCTTATTGTAACTGATCCCTAAAGAAACACCGTTTCCCTGATAAGACCACACTCAGCACTAAAGGCAGAATCCCTGTGTCAAGGAGTGGAACGAGGCCCTGCAGTCTCCAGCTCAGCCTTTTTTTTTTTAAGGCAGAAGAACCCAAGGAAAGAAGCAATTTGCCTCCAACCCAGAGCCAGCGGCAGGAGCCATGCAAAGCCTAGGACAACACAAAGGTCCACAGATGCCCCACAGGGAAGCACCTGGTCTACCCAGAGAGGTGCCCTGCAGCCCACTTTGATTCTACCTTTTACCAGGTTCTGGAACTGGAAGACACTCAAAATACCTGCTGAATGTTTCCTGCAATAAATCACCACCAGCTAATAATACTCCACTCCTAAAATTGACTTTAACTGCCACAGACAATAAAAGTATACAGTTTTAAATCCATTGGCTTCCAACATCCTCTCCTTACGAAATTGACCAACCTACAAAATCTGGTATGTCCACTCTTATAATATCTGGTGAAGTCTGGGAATTCTCCACTTTACAAAAAAAGAGAAAGAAGGTGCCTTAGGTACATAACAGTCACTAACTCTATCACTAAAGTGGCCTCCATGCGACAGACACATGTGTACACAACGTGGGAGGCACTGAATAGAGACACCATATACAGTTTAACTCCACCTAGACTAGATGTGAAAACTGAGGCTTAGAGAGCACGAGTGACTTCACTAGGACCAGACATGTTTAACACACACATAAAAACACAAGACACTATTTGCGATGGCTTGAATGTTTGTCCCCTCCAAAGCTAAGTTAAAGCTTCGTCCCAAAAATGGCATTTGAAAGGTGATTGGATAGTGAGGACTATGCCCTCATGAGTGGATTAATCCATTCGTGGGTCAATGGGCTAATGAGTTAATGGGTTATTGGGTAGTAGACTGGGGGCTTTACAGGGAAAGGAAGAAGTGTGTTAGCATGTGCTCTTGCTCAGCCCTCGCTGGGTGACACCCTGCATCACCACGGGACTCTGCAGAGAGCCCCCAGCCGGAAGACCTCACCAGATATGCCCCCCTTGACCTTGCCCTTCCCAGCCTCCCAAACTGTAAGCAGTAAATGTTATTTTCTTATCAATTACCAAATCCAGGTATTCTGTCATAAGCAACAGAAAGAGCCCAACACTATTCATCACACAGGATAAGGTGAGTCTGTGTGAGTGTAAGTTACTCCTTGAAAGCACCAATATTGCTACCAACGAGGGCCTCTCAAGTGAGTCCTTCATTTATGGGTTATGTCTCCAGTGGGAGTAAACGGCCCCTGCAGCAGCCTGCCCACATCAGAACACTGCACAAGCAGCCCCACTGGCCAGTGCTCATGGATCCCCAGGACACTGGGCCCACCCTGCCCTCCCCAGCCTTGAGGACCTGACTTGGCCAGTGCTCCCAAAACCTATCTCACCTTCTCCAGCAACACAACTGCCCTCCTCTAGAATACTCCAGGAAGATCGCTTATCTGCCAATACATATTTCCTAACGAATATGGCTTAATATTTGCTGAATTAAAGGGACATTTTTTTTGAGCCAATCCTACCCTAGAAAACTCCAAACAAATAGTAGGTCAGGACAGGAAAGGAGAGAACCCATGCAAGGGCCCCACACCCAGCCACTGTTCCGGGGCTGTGGGCAGATGCTAAAACAATAGCTCCAGCACTCAGGGAACCTTAAACCAGATATGGAGACACCCAAACCACCTGCCAAATTCCTCTCTCTTCCTACTCCAACCTGGTGCAGGAAAGCCATTCAGAGCAGTGACCCTTGGGCAGGCAACCGCATCTCAGGCCCTTCTCTGTATAACGGCTGACCAGCTGAAGGCTCCATGAAGAAGCAGAGCAGCCAGCAGCCTGATGCCCCAGGGTGGCAGATTAAGGGCAAAAAAAACTTTTTTTTTTTTTTTTGAGGCAGGCTGGTAAGGAGATTTGAACCCTTGACCTTGGTGATACAACAGCGTGCTCTAACCAACCAAGCTAACGGGCCAGCGAGGGCAAACTTTTTTCTGAAACTTTTCTTAAAATGTAATAGCTTTGCTGAAATAGATTTTTTTAAACCTGGCTGAAAAGATCATGAAAACACCTTGGGAGCTTCCGCCACATACCTGCAATGACCGCAGGCCACATCAAATAGCCTGGGCTGAACACAGATGAAGCATTCTGCCCAGGAGGCCACACGCGCCTGCCTATGCATGCCAGCCTGTGCATGTCTGCCTGTACATGCCTGTGTGACTGTGTGTGCCTATGTATGCACGCCCAGGTGTGCCTGTGCCCACGTCTCTATGCGCCTAGGTGTGCCTGTGCACACGTGTCTGTGTATGCCTGTGTGTGCCTGTGCACACATCTCTGTGTGCCTGGGTGTGCCTGTGTGTGCATGCCTGGGGGCAGGGGCAGTGTGTTTGTGTACATGTGCACTTCTCACGGATGTACACAAATCTGTGCTTGTTGGCACAAAAGGGGGCCTTGCATTCTCTCTGGTATGTGCACTTTAGTTCACCTGCCCAAACACCAGGAAAAGAGATCACTTTGAATGGAAAAAGTTACATAGTCCAGAATCCAAAGGGGTCAGGTCTAAAGCAGAAATAATAAAAACACTGAGAGGCAGTAGGAAGGGGAAATAATGTTAAATGACCTAATCAACTTTCATATGGGGAATCTACAGATTTTATCTAAGATTATTAAATCACAAAATAAAACTAAAAGCACATAGCTTAGAAAGGTAACCATCAGAAGAAGCAGAAGTAGTTAAACCACATTCCCTCTAACAAAAGTGGGAAGCAAAAATCTATAACTTCTCATTCACAGCTTTTTTTATGGCCAATTTATAACACACACACATACACACATGCACGTATACACACATATACGCGCATACACACAAACACACACTTTTTTCAATAAGGCTGGGTCAGGGCTCCCCAGCAGGAGCACAGAGTGTGGGGACAAGAGTGGGCTTTGGGGCAGGGCACATGCAGCTGAAATCCAAGAGCAGCCTCAGATTCGCTCTCCAACTTCTCTGAGCCAGTTCCCTCAAAAGGAAAAACCACCAAAGCCACAAGACCTCAGGGTGTCCTGTCTGTGAGAGAGAAGATGGAAAAACAGCGCATTGGGCAGACTCAGGTGTCCACAAAGGGCTGCGTGTGACACATGGACAACAGGTCCCCCACTGAGCAGAGGCTGTTGGGGCTGGGGTCCACCCCAACAGCACAGGAACACAGAGCCAGGGGCCTCCTAAAGCAGCTCCATGAAAACAACGGAGGAAGGAGCACTAGATGTAGGAGAGCCACCCTGAATGCACCTCCTCTGACAATTAGGGAAAATTAATTTCACATAGAAATAAGCAATGAGAAAATACTGAGGTCAGGGCTGGCCCGTGGCTCACTCGGGAGAGTGCGGTGCTGATAACACCAAGGCCACAGGTTCGGATCCCTATATAGGGATGGCCAGTTAACTCACTTGGGAGAGCGTGGTGCTGACAACACCAAGTCAAGGGTTAAGATCCCCTTACCAGTCATCTTTAAAAAAAAAAAAAAAAAGTACTGAGATCAAATTCCACACAAAGGACTATAAGAGAGAACAAGCAGCAGAATAACATCCCTGTGAACAACCAAAGCTCCTCAGAAAGACATCCCACAGAACAAATCAAAACCAGAGCCATTTCAAAATAAGCTGAAAAACATTGAGAAAAATATACTAGACACTTTAAAAATCCATTAAAACAACTCAAGCTATTAGATAACAGATATCAGGAAATCAGAAACAAAAGATCGTTTAAGAAATTAAGAATGAACTAGAAGGAATACAAGAACAAATAAATACAACAGAGTGTTGAGAGAAATAGAGGATGAAAAGAAAGAGACCTGTTTAAATAAGAAAGAAATGAAGAATGAGATAAAGGACCCAAGAGGAAGTAGCAATACTGAGGGCTGTAAAAGCAACAGCACACAGGCAGTCAGAGCCCCGAAGATGACCGAGGATGCAGCGGAACAGCCAAAAGACCTGTCACGTGAGGAAGCTTTCCTGAAATTAAGCGAAATAAGATTTAAAACCACATATTTAAAAAAACCACACCACATACCTAGGAATACCAACCCCAAATGACACATACCAACACATATTCTAAAATTACTGAACTTCAAAGAAAAGAGAAAAAAATCCTTTGGACATCTAGAAAAAAAGAGTAAGCAGCTTATGTGAGAAAGAAATCCAGGACCAGCAGACGTGGGCAGGGCCTGACATCAGTAGATAGGTGCGACACGCTTCACATATGCGAGCACTTTTGTTGGGAAAACAGAATAATTTAATCAGGTCTCCTTGCCTTAGGTCTGGTTGGGGGTGATGCGGGGCATTCTTTGCAAGCAAATGGGGTGGAGTTAGTGCGCATGTGCAGCGCGCAATTTGGCTGGTGTCTACTGCCTCGGGCATCTGCTCCCCTCAGCCATGCTCTCCAACCTACAGCTTCCAAGGACCTGTTTTCTGGTTACCTAGCTCATAGACCGGCATGTGAGGGGTCTGGTGACCCAGCCTGGTGTGTGAGGGGTCAGGGGACCCAACCTGGTGTGTCAAGAGTTTGTGACCCAATCTGGACAACAGGCTTGAGGGGTCTGTGAGCTCCAGACCCAGCCCTAGCTTGACAATTGGCCCAGTCTGCAGGATTACGGGCAGGTAAAAGAGGCCGACAATTGGCATAGTCTGCGACAGGATTCTGAGCAGGTACAGGAGCCGAAAGCCCTTGGAAGAAGGAGGAAACGTGGCTACTTTTGAATATGTTCTGCCCTATGGCCACCTTCCTGTTGACCGGGATCTGGTTGCTGCACACTGTACTGCAAGGCAGCATAGACCAGGCATTACAACAGAAAACTCCTTGGGAAGGGCAGGAAAAGTGGCTATCCTTGAGCACATGTTGGCCAGTGGCCACTTTTCTGCTGACCGGAGCCTGA